TACCCTTTCGGGAACGCCCAAGCAGCTGTAATTTTACCTGCGTGAACGCCTTGAAAAGCAACGAGGTAAAGACTTAAAGAATTCACTTCCACCCTTGAAGTAATCCTACAGCATCGCATTGCTGTTAGTCCCCTTGCTTGAACGGCCCAAGAGGCCACGAAGGACAAGACCCGAGGATCCTCTTCTCCGTTGAAGTGATCTCACTATTGTGCAAGATCTAACCACATCATCAGAGCTGCCCATATTTTGCTGCTCTGTCAGCCCACTCACGTGATCGCCCTGAAAAGCAACGGAGTGAGGAATTGGAGGAGCCTTCTCCACGTGCTACTTGAGACTGATCAAGTCAGATAATCAAGTCAGATGATCAAGTCAGATGATCAAGTCAGATGATCAAGTCAGATGATCAAGTCAGATGATCAAGTCAGATGATCAAGTCAGATGATCAAGCCAGATGATCAAGCCAGATGATCAAGCCAAATGATCAAGTCAGATGATCAAATCAGATGATCAAGTCAGATGATCAAGTCAGATGATCAAGTCAGATGATCAAGTCAGATGATCAAGTCAGATGATCAAGTCAGATGATCAAGTCAGATGATCAAGCCAGATGATCAAGCCAGATGATCAAGTCAGATGATCAAGTCAGATGTTCAAGTCATATGTTCAAGTCAGATGTTCAAGAAAGAAGAAGACCATGGGTGACTGTTAAGTGTGAAAGGACTGAGTGTATACAATTGAGATACAAAGCAAAGCAACCTTTATGATGACACTTAGACTATACGGGAGGCCATTGTTCATATAAACTAGAACTTAAATAATTACCTTTGCAAAGTTGTTTGCATATACTTCACCATTATGTTATGTATAATATGTAAATAAATTCGTAATGTCATTTACATTGGTGTTCTAAAGTATTTGGTAGTTAAAGTATACTTGAGTATGTTATTATAACCATTTGTGTGTGAAATCGACATAACCCTAATACACCTAGACACGAGCAGGTGTGACACTCAGCAGAGAGTGGTACTCACACACCTAACATAAAAGTGATTTCACCACACTAAAACTTTTTTGTTTATTTGTTTATTTTTTTTGTTGTTGTTGTATTTTCTGTCGCAACTTGAAACGCTGAACGTTAACTTTCATTAAATTCTACAACTTAAATGAATGACTTAAGGCAATTATTTTTCTGTACCTGGAATGATTGCACCATCGCTTGAGTTTTTTAGTGGCATTTCAGGGCGTTCAAAATAAGATTGAAATAGTGGAGGAGAAATCATCAGTTAAGTCTTCATTTCAATTTGAGTTTTAAAAACCTTTTTGACATTAAAATTTCTTTTTGTAATAAATCAGAGGAAAATATTTTTAAAATAAAATATTTTAATAGATTAAAAAATTGTATATTTACTTTTGTTTAATTTTTTAACGTAATGTTAACATAAAGATATTTTTTCTTTGATAAGTTAAAAAAACAGAAAACAGTTTTCACTTTTTATGAGCTCATAAAATTAGAATAGAATTATAAGGAATATTAAGTGCTGATTTACAATGTTTATTTCAAATTCAAAAACAACGAAGCCATAAAATAAAAGAATAAAAACATAAAAATAAAATTTAAAAATTATGCTTCACGATAAACACGTGTTTGATTGTGTCAAGAAATCACAGACCGATAGTACACTCAGTTTGGTCTAAGGTTTCTCTCCACGATTTTTTTAAAGAAAAAGACTCATTGGAAAATATATTTTAAGAAGCAATTGTTTTATATTTTCGATTGTTAACATTCATTAGATTGACAAAAAATATCTCAGTAAATAAAGGCTTTAAAATATATATTTAAGAGTGAAGAATTAATCATCTTAGTAGCTCTAGTTCCGAGGTTCTAAATCGTTTTCATGTTACGACCACATTCATATACAAACAAAGGGAGCCTTAACACATTATATTGGAAAACGGAGCATGTAAATAGAACACATGTTTTATTAAGTGGACATATTTTAAAGCATAATGTTGCATTGTAATAATGTAAATGACGAGATGTATAATTTCTGGAAAGAAAATTTAACCCAAAATTTAAGAATATTATTTTAAAAAATATTACCATTTTAAACGATCTCTATTTCTCATATTTTACTGTTTAATTAAGCCTGTGACCGCACACCAGTGGGCTTCACAACAAATTTTGAGTTCACGTTCAAGACTCCCACGGGCTGGAAGCCTGTGCTTTTGTATCCCAAGACATTGTATGTTTAAAACTAACTTTTTACCTTGTAGTTGTTTATATTTTAATCCAAAAATTAACATAGTAAGACGTATAAATTTAAAGATTATTGTATTAAATGCCTAATATTTTTTTTTTACGAAACAGACGCTTTGTTGCAAGTTGTTAGAACATTTTCTTGTAATTTTTATTTGGCTACAAATTCGAAATTAGAAATAGCCACCTGTAAAAAAAGGAAAAATGCATAAAGTGTTGATTTTTTTTTTCTGTAAGCGATTACAGTCAATTTTTGCTCAAAAGGCATTGTTGAGATAGTTTTCCAATACTATAGAAAAGAAGTGGAAAATGGAGCAACAAACTTTCAACTTAAGTTAACATTGAATTTTACTCAGGAATCGACGAAACATTTTTTTTTCAAAAATATGCAAAACCTGCTTATTATAGTTTAAATAATTTTATAAAATATTTTAAATTAAATTTTAAAAAAAAAATGTTTCCTGTAGTCCCGAAAAAGAAAAACAACTGGAAATGAGAAACCTTTGTCTAGACACTATGTGAATAATTTTTTTTATTCGGTGTGTCTTCATATCAACAGTGATAAACTGTAACCTCGGTTGTTGAAATAATTACCTCAACCACTAGACGATGCATTACCCCTTACCCTGCGTGGAAAGCGGGATAGTAAATGCAGATTGACAGAGGCGTAATTACTAGTTGCTTCAGACGTATTGTGACTTTATGGTGTAAAGGTTCGCATTTTAAAAAGATACATCGGCAAAGTATTATTCAACTTTAAACTGTTGACAGCTAACTATAAGCCAATCATTGTCTAGTTGATGTATCATATTTTTAGTCGTCTTCATATATAGTTGATCCCTCTAGAAGAATTTTGCCGCGGCAATTCTAACATCATCTGGTGGCACACAAATGTGCCTGGCCATATGCGTTGGGTGGCTATTATTTAGACAGTTAACATTTCGATTTATTTTTTTTTATCTTAACATTTTAAAAAAAATTGAAAAAATGACAGTCTTAATACATTCAAAATGTTTGTATAAAAAGGTTCAATAATGATGTTTCTATATTTAAATTGTTGTTTTAAAAAATATGTGTTAAATATTAAAACATATAATCTTAGGGAGACACGTCAAATTAAAAAGAAATTATTGACTGTGAGTCAAAAAAAAAAAAAAAAAGTAATTAAAAAAGTAATTAAAATTGATTTAAGGAATATTTTAAATAAAAAAAAAAATGTTTGTATAAAAAGGTTCAATAATGATGTTTCTATATTTAAATTGTTGTTTTAAAAAATATGTGTTAAATATAAAAACATATAATCTTAGGGAGAAACGTAAAATTAAAAAGAAATTATTGACTGTGAGTCAAAAAAAAAAAAAAAATGTAATTAAAAAAGTAATTTAAATTGATTTAAGGTATATTTTAAATCAGAATAACAACATTGCATCTCTTGTGTCTCTGTTGCGTCATGCCATGATAAAAACGGTTTAAATAATGTTTATGACATTAAAAGTTATATCCTGACTTTTTTAAGAAATTAATATATCAAAATGTTCTATAATTGAAAGTTAAATTCATACTTAAGCACGAAACAACCACGGTTAGTATTGCATATTGATAAAAAAAAATAATTTATGATAAGTATATATGTTATTTAAGATACATACACACAAAATTATTACAAAAATCCGCATAGTAATTAACCACAACCACATTCAGCAGTCAAAAATGTATAAAGATAATAAATAACCATTACATTTTAATTTAAGATAATTATTCACATTTAATTTTAGCATTCATGAAAGTGTATCAATTTATTTTTTTTACAGCTTACACAGTTTACTAGTTCTTTGTAGAGAAATAAATATAAATATTTAAATTACACTTCGTTTCCATCAAATTTTCTAACATATATTGGTAATTCGCAATGTCTACTACTAACGCCCATATTCTGGTGTAGGTATAATATTACTCTCTTATCACCCCGACTGGTACATTAGCTACCCGTTCCATCTACTTAGCCGAGCCATGTAACATTATTCTCACGAAGCGCTTCCCCACTGCCCTGGCTTACCCTGGAGCATCTAGTGAGGGACATTCCGTCAAACAGATGCGCTAGCGCTTCTGGGATCAGGCTGCAATGCCGCCAGGTAGGGTCCCTGTTATTATCTAGTCTGTCTAGTACTAAATATACCACTCTAAACTTTAAAAAAATGAAATATGAATGGTGACACTGACAGAATAAGCTAAAACTCACCCTTAAACTATCATTTAAAAGATATATGCATTTCTAAAATGTATTTTACTCAAGAAACTTTTATTAAAGTTTATTCTAAGCAGCCTTAACTGGCCTTCAAGCCAATTTTCTTTGCGGTGATCCTTCCGCTTGCATCCCACGAACATGCGTTAAGTCTCTCACAACAATCTCTTACAAGTCTCACACACCCTCTATTTAGACCTTACGTGTCTCGTCGCCATTCCCCCTTTTATGCACTACGTGTATCACCTGAACCCACCCATCACTAGATCATGCCCCTCCTCAAGTTACTCTACATACAATTTAAAACGTGACACGAATAAATGACAAAAAATAAACATAAATATTAGTTAATTTTATTACTAAAGCAAATGAAATAAAGAAGCAACAAATACCAAGTTTGAATATACGGCCCCAAACAGTTGACTTACAACTTTGCAGAGGAAAATAAACGTTTTCAAGAACATTAAATTTAACTTTTTTTTTTCTTTTTTTTTTTTTTTTAAATTATCAGTGGCCGATACTTATTTATCTTCTGTGAAAAACATGGCAAATACTATTTTCCTATTTAAAAAAAATGAAAATGTTTTGATAATTACTTTGAAACCGATTATGGCATTAATTGCATGCACTAGGATGGCATTTGAGATTTAAAATACAGATAGATATAAATCTATAACAAAGCAGAAACACAGATAGGTGCAGGGTTTTGTTCTGAACTTTTGTTTTATACATAATTGTTATAAAATTTATAAAATTAAACAAAAAAAACATTTATTTTTTTTATAAAATTGTCGACTGTTTTCTTTCATGGGCATCAAGATAAGCTGTAAAACCATAATGTCCGATTATTGTTCCAATTATAGGAACGGAACGGAATGCTCTATCAGCTATTTTCAATTTATTATGTTTTGATTTATTTTCAATTGCTTTAACACAGCGTTTCATTCGCTCCGAAACTTTCACAAAATCAATTTCAAATTTTATTTTCTTGCGAATATCCTTTGTTATATTTTGAACATCTCCTTCGAGGCCATTGAAATCAGACGGTCTGCATGGGATGACTAAGTTTTTTATATTAGAAATAAGTGAATCAATATCTGCCATTATTTGATTAAACGTTTCAACTCGTAAAATTAACTTTCTAAAGCAATTTTCACAAACTTCATATTTCTCTGTGAAATCGTCACCAATTCTTAGTTTTAACAACCTTAATTTCTCCTTTATAATATATTGTGCCGTAGTTATGTCTACATCATCTGGATTTGCTCTAATAATACTATTTAAAATGCTCTCAATATCCAAATCAATCGTTTTGATCGTATCTTGCTTACGCTTATTAAGAATCTTCTCAGCACTTTCAAGAGCTGAAAATAACTCATTTTTTATCGCATCCCTTAAATCCGCTTCAGCTATGTTTTTTTTAGATTCAAGCACTTCCACCTCAAATTCCGTATATGTAGCAAGTATATTTTCCTTGTTAGATGAAATTTCATCAATTCGGATCGTTATAAATTGAATTTCTTTCATGATATTTATGGCTGTGGTTCTTTGCGTTGCGTCTTCATTTTTAACATTGATGACTAATTTCATTGATTTGACTGCTAAAATTAAATATTCTTTTACATCTTCCTTTAATTCTTCTTGTTCAATTTTGTATTTAAGCTGTTTTAGATGTGCTTTAATTTTTTTCATTCCTTGCTCACACGATCCGCTTCCAAAATCAAGCTGACATAATTTTTCTTTTATTTTTTCAAATTCAAATTCCAATTTTTCCTTTCTTATCTTTTCAATCAAGGCAGTAGCATTAAGCATAAATTCCTGACAAGTTCGAACTGCATCTTTTAGACGATGTAAAAACGTGTCACCAACATTGCTTTCGTTTGCTTCCTTCTGTAACTGTAACACTTCTGTTTCAAGTTTGAAAATAGTTTCAGTCATGTTTTGATCACCTAGATTTATTTGGTCAATCGCTTTTATGACGTCATTAACTTTTATCATCATTTGGTCTGTATGTATGGTCTGTGTTGTTGTTTGTTTTTTTATTTCCATTTCTTTTTCAATTTGATTTAATTGTTTTGTTGCCGTTTCAAAGAGGTCATCATTTATTGTATTTCTATCTTGATTTAGTTTATACATTAATGAGTTGCTGTCTTCACGAGCTTGATGTAAAATGTTTAAAGTTTCTTTATCTTGACAATCGGTATTGTGGACTCTTTCAGTAATACTTTTTAAAAGGGTTTTTATCTCCGTTTCTTTTCTTTCCTGAACTTGCTTTTTTAAAGTTTGAAGATGGCTTTGAGCCTTAATTATTGACAGCTTGAGGGGCTCTTTGAATTCTTTGCTCAAATCTGCTTTTTTTACCGATTTCTCCAGAGATTGCAATGTTTGATCAACATCAGAAATAAAGCTATCGGTCCCATCATTTATAGGATCATTATTAATTATATCTTGTTTAATTTTTGTAATTGTTATTTTTAAACTATCTGTAATTTTGCATTGTCTTACTATTTCCTCTTTGTTTTTTATATCGTGTAGGATTCTTTTCAGTGATGATTTAATGCATTTTGCTGTTTGTTTTTTTATAAGCAAGTTTTTTTTTTCTAGACGCCCTATTAAAGTGTTCGTTTCCTGTTTTAGCTTATTTAGGTGCCCAGTAGCCTCTTTATCATGAGAGTTAATATTTTTTAAACACGTGTCTATATCGTCTCTCTTCTTGGTTATTTCTTCTTCTTCTGCTTGTTGTGCTCTCAGTTTAAGATTCTCTAGTTCTTGTCTGGCGCTAGTGATATATTTATTTAGACTATCTACAAATTCAGTTCTCAAATGATATTTCTTTATAATTAAAGTTTTATCTCTTATTTTTTCTTCTATGAGTTTCACACATTCAAATATGTCTTTATTCGTTGGGTCAGTCGTCGTTATAAACTCTTTGATCTCTTCGATTTCTATCCGAAAATCATGATCTATCTTCATGTGTCGAAAATCTTCTTTCTTTGTTTCTATCAAATGTTCCAAATTAAAAAAAGAAAGCCTTATGTCTTCTAAAAGACGTGTTTCGTTGTCTGCGTAATAAATTGCTTCTGGTGAATCCAGCTCATTTGCATAATTTAATTTATCACGAACAACAACTTCAACTTCCTTTAATCCGTCCGATGGTTCTGGAAAAAATTTTATGTCATTTATTTTGCAAGTTAACTGTTGAATATTCTTTTGAAAGTCTTCTCTTAGTTTTGGTAAGATGGCTTCTAGTTCAATGCGATTTTGCTCTTTAATAGCTTGTTGAAATTTAATGTGCGTGTAACTTTGGTCCAGATTACTCACGCAATTTAACAACGTTTTAAGCTGTTTACTTTTCTCCTCATTTTTTTGTGTTTCGTTACTAAAAAGGGCGCACTTATAATTACATTTTTTAAACAACTCTCCGTATTCTCCAGTTTGTTCTTTGAGATACTCGTAAAAATACTTGTTTCCAAAAGCACGATCATAGAGATCACCGAAGGTCATCACAATCATGCAAGACTTCCAGATATTGTTTTTACCAAAAGTATTTTCCAGAATATACAAAGTGTCCTTGTTTTCGTTTGTGAATCGTTCGCCGAATTTTATAACAAATATTACAGCGAGTTTACCATTGGATGGGCACACACGCATTGCATCTTTCATGTCCTTACATGCTTGAACCATAGTCTCCTCTCTCTTGAGGTCAGGGGACATAAATCCTGGAGTATCTACAACTGTAATATGTATGCCGTCTCGTTCCGTTGATTCTTTAAGTATCTTATTTGTAACGGCTTCTGGTGAAATCTTACTTTCAAATACATATTTTCCTAGTATTGAATTTCCTAGAGCGCTTTTTCCAACTCCGGTTTTTCCAACAAGCAAAAATATGTACGCTGGCTTTGACATCTGCAAATTTAAAAAATTGTATGCATATGTTGTTTTAAAGTTATATTTTAAATGTGTTTTTTTAATAAAAATATTTTTAAAAAAAGAAAACTGAAAATAAAGAAATAATCATATTATTAATAACCACATATGTAGTTTCTCTCGTCCATTATGAATACTTCAGTCAACGTCGAGAGACATATATCCAAACAATGGACGTTATACAATTAATTTATTTTATTTATTGGTACACGTGACAGCTACAGTTGTTCACATTGTACACATGCACTTACGCTTTCAAGTTGCAGAAATACTTTTTGCGCATACTTTAAAATGTCATGGTATTTATTGATACGCGTTTTAATTTCGTCTTTATTTCATTTTAATGTCAAAATATTTATTAAAAAAACATATCCCTATTAACTTTTTTTCATTCTTCTATTGAAGTAAAATGATATTATGGTTTCGCGAGAGGAAATTGCGAAGCCTGTGGTAGTTAGTTGTTTTCATAACCTGATCAAACCCGGTAAATATATACATAGATATACGCATTTATTGTCTCATATTTTTTAAGAAATATTCACCTCTATTCCCGAACCAGCAAATTTTTCTTTTCCTCAAAATATTCCGATTTTAAGCGCAACATTTCCACGAAACTGAACCTTACATTCTGTAATTTGTTAACCACCTATATCTATGCGCCCACTTAGGTACTCCAGTCGTCCCGTTCTCAATCACTGTTCTGGATTTCAAACCTTAAAATGGGAGTTGAAATGTTTCATGGATATTTTTTACTCTAGTGTTCGACCAATGAAGGTTTATAAAAGCAACGTCTTAGTGACATAAAATGACCTACGGAAAAAAAAGACTATTGCGTTCATATAAATATATTAATGTTGTTTTTTTTAATTCCATTGGCTTTTTTTTTATTGGTATTTTGATGTTGGTTTTCTTGTTCTCTTTTTATAAACTTAGAGACTTTGATAGCTAAGCGTCATGATCTTTGAATTGTTTTCATGCAGTTGATGAAGTTTTCAAAGACAAAAAAAAGAGACGCAAATATTAGTGAATATTTAAACTAAAAGTGTGAACTGTGCATTTTGAAAATTTCTGTATTCACATTTCAAGAGAAAGGAAAATGTTGGGCTAAGGCTTCATTTCAATATATAAATATCTCGTAAATCCGATGAAAATTGATATTTAAGCTTTGGTTATAATTTTTATATAAATATAGATACTATAACATGTGATTATTGATTCTCGAAAAAAAGATGGAACTTTTTAAAAAGATACGTTGTACATATTCATTTTGAACTTAAAAATAAATTAATATTTTAAGAAATACAACATTTTAAAATTAAAACAAAAAACACATGCGACTTATAAATCATTTCTCAATAAATAAACTAAATATGCCTTGAATATTCCCCTCCCCCACCACCCAAAAAAAAAAAAAAATAAAAAAAAAATAAAATGCAATAAGTTCAGTTATAAAAGTAGGAACAGGAATTAGAATTTAATAAATAAAACACATGCGACTTATAAATCATTTCTCAATAAATAAACTAAATATGCCTTGAATATTCCCATCCCCCACCACCCAAAAAAAAAAAAAAATAAAAAAAAAATAAAATGCAATAAGTTCAGTTATAAAAGTAGGAACAGGAATTAGAATTTAATAAATAATAGCAAGGAGCTGCACAACTTTCTTATTGACGTCCATAACTTTGTCGATCCCAGTTTATTTTATTCATGTTTATTAAAACGTTAGGTTGTTTTCGGGAGAAAAATTTGGGGGATGTTCAGCGATATTTTTCTCATTTCGCCTCAAGCCACACGTATTAGTTCAAAAAGTGGGTGGCACCATATGATAAGTATAGGCAGTTCAATATCTAAAATCAAATTTTGTATCAAACTGGAAACATATAGATTTAAAAATAGTGTGCCTAATTATTTTCAGTAAATACATTTTAGGACGAAAGAGGGTGGTACATGACAGAATCTTTAAATCATATGGTACTACGGGCTTTATAAAATTTTTTTTAGATTTTCATTAAAGGTTTAAGAATGTCGACTCTTATAGACATACTTACATAAGATACACATATAAAAAATGTGAAATGGGGAAAGGGAAAGTAAAGAAAACTACGGATATTAAGAGTTTAAGCGAACATACAGATCAGGGGCAAGCAAAAAGGAGGGCAAATATTAATGACCATAAAATGTGTTTACATTGAAAGTTGGTTTTAAATATTTGGCAAAATGAGATTTTAAGTATAAAAAGAAAGAAATTATGAACATATTTATTGCTAAATAAATTTTCAATTCAAGGCGTTAAATTTTAATCTGAATTTTTATTTTTGAACCTCTAAAAATATAGTTCAGTGGCGTGAAAAAACAGGGTTAGAGATTTTCTATAACTCTGACCTAATTTAAGTTTTTCCTCTTTGTAAAAAAAATATAAAGGCCATAGAGAGAAGGAAGCTCATTTTTTTTTCAGATTAATGGTTATAATACTTATAATTAAATGTCTTCCAATATTTACAAGCAGTACAGCGTCATATCTTCTTTTAAAAATAGCGAGTGGGTACCCAGCATGCATTGCAATGCCACTCAAAAAAAAAAAAGGGTGTTTGAATTTTAATAATGTTTTTTCCAAGTACTTTTTATTTAGACAAGATTATTAGTTTTATCTTCTGGTGCATACACGAATAACTTAGAAGGATTTTAGGCGCGTGAGTTGGCCATATACAAGTGTCCATTTGAGGAGCATGGAGTTTCAAAATTTATTCCACACATTTCTAGCGATTGCTCCACCCATGCAATAGCTTTATTTGAAATTATATTTCAAAATGTCATATAATTTTTTTTTAAAGAGTGTAGGGCCCCTGGCTTCAAACGGAATAGTGTATAATGGATGTACTTATTTGTACCCGGTTGAAATGGGTTGAAAGACTTTGACATTGTATGCTTGTAATTAGTTTTTGTAGTGTTGCGTTTGTTTTAACTGTGGTAAATTATAGTTTTTTTACTCTTGTACCGCGCTTCGAGTCTTTGGGGATGAAGCATGTTTTTGAAATACACTTTATTATTATGATTATTATTATTTAGAAACTGTTGTTAGCGCCCGGACAAAAACTCACCAAAGTTTTATCGCAATCGAATGAATCGTATATGAACGCATAAGGAAATTATAATTAAATTGCTCATATAAGATTTTCAAAATAACGATTTAAGGTCCCCATCCCAAAATGGAATATTTTAAAATGGTTTTACAAATTCAGAAAACTACTAAATTATGAAACATACCAAATGACATTAACTAAATTTCGCCCACCCATGCAATATCTCTTTTGAAATATATATTCAAATAGCTCATATAGGAAAAAACAATTATAAAAAGTGTTGGACTGCGATAAAGCTTTAAAATAGATTAATAAGACACGAACAAATTGTGTCAATAGAACAATATGAGTTAGCTTTAATTATGATTATACATTATACACAATTAAACGTTTCGGCACATGCCTTCATCAGTACAAACAAACACAACACATTTAAATAAGTATAAATTAAATTTACATAATATCAATATACAAATCCTACCTAAAACAGAAAAAATATAGGAGAGGGCGCTAAAACCAGACAAAAACAAAGTAAAGAGAAGTAGAAAGGAAGTGATTTTAACATAATTGGAAAAACCAAACAGGAAAAAGACATGGCAGCTAAGTAAAACTATGGATTTGGTTTAATCCATATGGAGACAACGTACCAAATCTAGTTATTAATTTGTTCTCCATAAAGATTCTATCTGCAGTTTTACTAGTATAGAGTATACCAGGAAAAAACAAATTTAGGGCCTCAAGCAACTAACCGAATAGTGTAAAATTGTTGTACTTTTTCAGAAACTTTTGCAAGCGTGCGCACAACTTACGAAAGTTTGGCTAATTTTTTTATAAAGATAAAATTTTATCAAATTGCGTTAATATAAAATTTATTTAAAATGATAGATAAAGTTTTTATTATAAAATTAACATTAAGTTTTCACAATTTATAGACTAAAAATATAACGAAAAATGCTATTGTAGACCCAACATTTAACAATTAGAAACACATCGCACCTGAAGTGTTTCTCTAGCGTAGACATAGGCCACCAATGAACTCCTTTAGTGTCAATAATGATTTAATTATGGATCATATAGATTTGGTTATTTCAAGTCATGTTTATAAAACATATAAGGTAGGCGTAAAATTTATGCTAGAAAAATACTTCTTAAAGCTCATAATGATTTTAGATACGTAATTAGAATGGGAAAGATACTTCTTTTTAACATACGACATTGTGATTAGTTTTCGAAATGGCAGATTGAAATATTATACAAAATGCATGCCATTACTATCTCGATAATTATTTTCTAGTATTATAATAGCCGGTCAAAATTATTATTTATTAAAATAAATATAAATTAAATACATAAATTAAAAAAAAAAATGAATGCATCGTTTGAATATTGTCCCAAAAGATGAGATTTTTTTAAAAAGCAAACATTGATTGTATTTTTGCAGTAGTTTCCTTTCTGTTCAAGAGTCCTCTTATAGGTTTTTTTTTTCATCTGACTTAAGGACTCTGGCTCAAATGTAATATTTCAGTCTAAATTTATTATCTTTATTTTGGAATCTTATTGGCGCGTCCAGGGTGCACTTAAACTCCGCTACTCACATATACACATATATTTATTTAAGTTAAATAATTTTCATAGTTATCTATTAATTTCTTCTTCTTCTCCTTCTTCTTTATTTTAAGGGCCCACGATCAATGAATTGATCATTCTGGCATTTAGGGTGTGCTGTATGTTTCTTTAATATTTTATAAATTTGTTGCATGTTCCAATCCCAAAATAATATTTATCAAGTGATGTGAGACAGCCTGTGTTAAATGAACATTCGCTCAATTATCTATTTATTTCTTAAAGCCAAGGTTTTAAAATCGGTTCAGTATTCTTTGTAAATGCGAATTTAAAAAAAAAAACTAAGTTTCACCAAAGATCTGTGGTCCCTACAAAGTAACAATGCATTCTTTATTAACGTAATGTACACGTACTCACTTTTTACCAGCATCATCTAAGCTGTGAACTCAAAAATGATCATGTGAGAGTGTGGTGGTGTGCTTGTCTTTATATTAGTCGGGCAATGGATGCTATCATGAATACTTAAAAATTGGCTCAAAAGAAACTGATAGCTTTGAACAAGGGGAATCACGTTATGGTTATCTTTGGAGTGTGTGCCTTTAGTTAGATATGTCTTTGTTTTTTGGCGTTAGCGCAATCGTATCTGTTCCTCTTAAGTGTAATGGATGCAAAGTACAAAACGGTGTAAGTTTTGTGAAGCCGGAAACTACTACTTGCTTGGAAGGCTACTTTTACTCTTTTTATCCCTGACAATTCCATTTTTTGAAAGTGACACCACTTAATTGAATGGATGAGAAATGTGTCATCCACCTCAGATTGCCCCTATCCCCTTTCCTTTCTGACGTCATGAAGTAAACGTTTCTTTCGGGTATTTATTTATTCATGCAGGAAAAAGTTATACTTTATTCTTCTTCAGTCTGGTAATTAACAGAAATAATAATAGTTTTTTGTTGTTGTAAAAGCAATATTAAACAACAAATAAATTCATATTTACATTTAAGATAGTGAGCTCTTTTGAACTAAGGTGACCAAAATGTGATACCCAACTAGGAATGAATCATATTGGTCGAGATGAGAGCGAGTGTAAACGGCTTGGGTCATGTATGTGTCCGCAAAGTCATTGCTATGAGGAGGCTTTTTGAGAAACCATCATTGCCGTAGATCAGTGGTTGACAAACTGTTTTTATCAATCACGGCACATCATCAGTGTTGCTACAGCCCATGTAGACACAACCTTGAAATTTCCCAGTTACTGCAGCTATCCGGCAAAGTACAAGATTTTAACGGCACATCTATCCATTTCAAAGATCTTTTTAATGTCAAGCGATATAAAAAAAAAAAATTAATATTGAAGCTCAACTTCCAATGGAACCAAATTACATAGAAATATGCATACATAAATTAAAATAGTTACATTTAAAAATTAACAAATAATACGTTTGCTTGACATATGCTTTATATTATTTAGGCTCACTTTCTTATAGAGAAAGTCAACACTCACTATAAAAAACGGTCAAATGGCTATATTTTTCCCCATATTATAATTGTAGAAAAACATATTCACGTAAATAAGTGTTTGAAAATTGTAGACAAAAAGATACGCTAGAAATAAAACAATTCTCTCCCTTGACTAAATCAAAGCATCTCGAAAACAATTTTTTGGGGTGTCCCTTTATTCCTTGGAAAATAGAAATTTATAAAAGTTTAGAAATTCATACAAGTTTTAAATGTATAATATTGTTATTGACTAAAGGCAATTCTCGTACCAAATTATGTGAAACAGATTTCAAATTCGGTTTGATAAAGCAGTGTTTGCTCTGTAAATATGCAATTTTTCAATTTGGTGTCTCTTGATGCGGTGTTCAACCCGCACACTTCTATCTACGCCACTGCCCACAGTTAAAACAGTGCTTCATCTAACTTTCAATTTAATTTTCAACATATTTTCATCTTAAATGGCAAGGCCACTAAAAATATCTCAAATATATCATCGCCCTCTAAGCAATCCCAACTTTTAAAGTGGCAGGTCCACCCACTTGGAGAACCAAAGCTGTAAGGTCTTACTTAAACAAATGTATCATATTTCCAAAACGTATCTACTCTATACTCGCTATACCAACCGCTTCGATGTGTTTCAGATTTCAGATACATGCTCTAACATGAAGCAGTCCTTGTGAGGCGATTTAAAAATAAAAAAAAAGACCAGGGCGGTCGCGTTGAAGACTGATCTAGACAAAGACAGAGATATGAGCTAATGTTTGCTGTTTATGTGGACCGCGGTATTCTGAGTCATTTTCTGTATGCTTGATGGTCTGAGATTTTTGTTTTTGTTATAATTTAGAGCAAAATAAATGTGGTTATTTGTTATTTTAAAGAATGTCCTCTGACATCTGCTCATTATGTTATTGATCAGGGTTCGAGTCCAGCATGACACCATAACACTTTGCTGGGCGGATGCGTCTCAGTGAATTTTGATAAAAGGTTGATGTTGAATTCATTTTGCAATTTAGGGTAGTGATACAACGTGGATACAGCATGTAAAAAGAGGTTATAAAAAGCCATTATTTTCAATAAATTTCCTACATTTGATCAAGGATTTGTATCTAGATTTGGTTCCCAGTTAAAAAAAGACACGCGACTTCTGCCCGTCCTTTACAATCGATTAGTGAAGTTCCATGGCAATCACAATGTTTGCAAATAAATTTGTCTCAACTGTTTCAGGGTGGTGCCCATTCACCCCCCTCAAAAATATAAAACGAATTGTCATCCATCTAACTGAGAGCTTACACTTTAAAAAGTGAGTTTTGGTGCGATCTTTAATGGCACACACATCCTCTTCCCTACCTGTCATAACCAGTTACGCTATCGGTGTCATTCATAAGTAGGCTACCACACCAAGAAAACAGTTTTGCCACTCAATAGTAGGCCATACATCACAGCTTTGTATGGTCATGCATCAGCAGGTGACAGCACCAAGAGTATTTGGTTTCCTTTTTTCTGTAGGCTAAAACACCAAGGGAATAGTTGTGTTATTCATAAGTATACTGCAGCAACAAAAGAAATGTAGTTTGATTTACATTAAGGCCACAGCTATCATAGTTTATTACTGTCATTCTTCTAAAGACTACAGCACCAAGAGAAAAGTATTGTCATTCAACCGCAGACAACACACCAAAGGTATATTATTGTCATTCAATAATTCAATTCATTAGCAGTCAAAGATGAAAAAAGGCAATTTTTGACTTAAGTTGTAGCATTGACATTAGCTGTATTTTGTTTAAATTAGAAGCAAATCAATCTTTTTAGTCCCCCAAAATATTACATGCCAAAGAAGACAGGACTTGAACTCAAGATCTATATTATGGATGTTAATATTATTGAATAGGCTTTACCAACACCTAGGTCCTAGACAACACTAACAATATGCTCAGAAGATTTTCTTAAATTCCTCGTCATCATTTAACAGTATCAAAGCAATCGTTATTTTTATATAGCTCATTCCGTTAGGTGTAAACTCAAATATTAAAGCGTGGATACTGAACTGTATAACAAATCTCCCACAATATGTCACGGTGAATTAACCACTAAGATTAACTAGAGAATAATACAGGAGAGCCATAAAGTTGCGTTCTCTACCCTGCTCCATATACACTCAATACCAATGAAGTAAGGAGTCCAAGCCAGACCGTTGAAATTATCAAATTTGGTGTTGATTCAACCATGGTTGACTTGATATTCGAATAGCGCAGTTTTTTTTTACAAGCTGTTTGTCCGATGAAAATTTTCATTTGTCTGAAAATCTCAAAAATCAAATAAATTGTTGTCAAATTGCAAATGCAGAATCACCTAATTGCAGGTCTCACAATAAATAGTCACACATTTACAATTTTCCCGTATATAAAGAAGCTATTAACTTATTTGTCAGTGAAACAATTAGAAACCTACTAAACGATAGTATTGCCGACTGTTGTGAGAATGCATCGTGTGAGGTCAAACAACCATTACATAGACGTATCTAGAAATCTAGTAATATTACACAAACTGATCTTCATGAGCTTGGAGAACTATTTGCAGAAAGATGCTGTTGTCAAATTATTATTATATTATTTTTCGTGTGTTCCCTCCGACCCTAATTCATCACAGATACCACATATCAGCTTGATCAGGGTGAATTCTTCCTCTTTAAGATATGAACGAACGACTTAAATTATGGAGTTTCCCAGTCTGTACGCATTTACCAGCGTTGTCCAACCCCCTCTCCACCCACCCATTAATGCTGTTACCATATCTTAAATTAAAAAATTATTAAGCCATTGTCACTAAATCAGTTTATTTATTGCTGAAGCTACGCTAGAGAAATACTTTAGATGTCTCGTATTTATATTGCACTACGTTTAAAATGTTGCGTTGGTTAAAATATTTTAAAAATCAATGGTTCACCTAAATAATTTTATTAAAATTCTTTATAAAGACGAGTAAAAATACAATGCATATTTTCTTTTCTTTTAAGCCCTTATCAAGGTGAAAGAAAAGCACATTATTGACTATGGAAACAAGTACCAAGGTTGTCATCTCTCCCCTTGTCCATCACACACTATATACAATAAATGATATCCAGAGCTACGATGACAAAGTTCAATCATTAAATTTGATGATGATACTGCCAGCGTTCACATATAATCTGACAATGAAATTTGTTATATATAATAATTTAAAATAATTTTTGTTACACTTTGTATTCTTTGTTTTTCTGAAAATTTTCATTAGTTGAATTTCTATCAACTCGAAGAAATTGATGTAGATTTCAGGAGCGTGTTTAACTAAATGGCAGATCTAACAATGAAAATTAAAGCATATAGCACGTAGAGACATACAAGTATCTAGGTAACACCATTATTAACAACTTAACGTGGTATTAACACAGCCTAATTATGTATACAAAGTTAGCCAAATATATTTTATTTTATTAAACATTTGCACAATTTTGGGGTTCTTGACGCTCTGCTGGTTTTCAAGATCATCGCTTCTCATCAAACAACAAATATACTAATCTAGAATGCTTGTACTTTTTTTCAAATACCTCAGCTTTTACAACAGTAACTATATAAAGAAACATGCATCTGTAAAATTAAACCAAATTGGAGCATACATACCACAGATCTTCACACATGTACTAGGATTACCTCGATCAAGGCGAGATTTTCCACACCAAGTTTTGACAGAGACGTACGGACATTCGTTCTTTCCAATATCAGAATTTACCATAGGGCCCACCTGGTTGTTAGAAAATCAAAATAATGCCTCTTAAAGTCAACATTGTCCCTTAGGATGTGAAGTTCAAACAATGTGACGTATAATTTTTAAGCTTGTGAAATACGTTAGATGTGTTGTGTTTAAAAGTTTCTAGTTTAAATAATTTGTTAAAACCAATAACTTTTCATGAAAATAATTTAGGTACATTGGGAAAAAAAAAACATTTCAATTATTTTGGATCAATAAAATAATAATATCTTATCGTTTCATTATCAATGAATTAAGAATACATTGTCGCTATAATATTAAAAGCAAAAAATATATTTGACATTGATTTAAAAACAAAACTGTAGTAACTCATATAATATGTATGTAAATTAATCGACTAGCTAGGTTAGCAAATTATTCAAGATGTATCATATAGATCAGTTCATGGATAAAGGTTATAAATAAATCAGACGTGATAAGGTAACGAATTTCAATGTTATAATTTTTTTTTAATATATATAATTGATAGTTAAGCTAAGAGAAATGTAGAAAGTATAACCCCACAAAACAAAGTTTCTTTTTAAATATAATAAATGTCATAAACTAAAATAGCATTTCTTTAATACATAATATAATTTTCAGTTCATGAAATTTGAACTGTTAAAATGTTCAACTAGTTAAAGACCATATAGTCTTGTCAGCAATATGGTGGGCTTCAATATTCATTGAAATAAACGCCCTATAATCAAAATATATTTTTATTACATTTATTGCTTTGCATCTCTGGTTTTCTTCACTCGATAGTTTTTAAAAAATCTTGTCCATTCTTGTTTAGACTACGTACAGCAACACTAGTTATATATATATATAACCAAAGTTACCAAAGTTTTATTTGGACAGAATATTTCTTCTATTTCTTAACACGTTTGACAAAACTAGAGGAAGCTAAATTAGTAAAAATCTATGAACAAGAATTTCATCGATTCATTTTTTTTAAAGAATACTTATTAAAAAATATCAAAAAGCAAACCATCTCAGCAATTAAATAAATCTTATTCACTGACTCTCATTTCAATTTAACATTTATCTTATTAAAGTGAGCATTATTTTGAATCAGATAATTCTAAAATACCATATTCGTTAGTATTAAAATTGCTAAAACTCTCACATCTCGAAATTGAAGATGAGTTTGTCAACAGTACATTGGTGATCTTGCCATGTATTCCATGTATTTCAAAAAGAAAGATGTGTAGTTAGCCATTTTTAAATGTAAATGGGACTGTCAAGTAGGAAATGATATTCATAGCTTTACCATTATGTTTGCTTAAACATTATTGTTTGTTGCATGAACACATAGTTTGAAAAAAAGGTGATAGGGTCTAATTCAAAATAATTTTCTTAAATATTATAAGTAAGGGATGTGCAACCAATGAATATAGCAAAAACAGGTTTTGCTTCAAAAGAAAATGTAATGTAGTATATATCAAAGTTTTATTGTATTAAAAATTAAGCGTAAACATACTGGGAGGCAAGTAGGCAAGTGGGCAAGTAGGCCTAAGCATGTGAAATAGGTAAATACTTATATAATATTTATGTAGATTAGAATGGTGTCTGTCGACTGATACTTAATAATACAATTTCCAAACTGTTAAAAAAAATTGTTTTTTTAAATAAACAAAATGCACGTGAAAGTAATACATAATGTTATGTTTTTTTTTATTTCTTGCTGATATGAGTCAGTATCCCTACAATGGAATTCATCATGTCAAAATGTAGATCCAGAATTGTTGATATGCATATGGAGGCAGAGAAAAGCACCAATTCTAAATACAAATCAATAAGCAAACTTTAGCTAATGGTGTGCACACTATTTAGCATGTTTAACTTTTTTAAGTTTGATTTAAATTTTTCTAAAAGCATTTGAAAGAATAAGCAAGCAATAACTTATTTTAGGTTTAACGGTATCCAATTATTTATATTATTCTGTATTTCCTAATATTCGTGCATATATTTATTGTTCAGCACCGTAAACATTATCTCTTACATTTTTTATGAGTAAACTATTTTCTAAAAACGATTAAATTAAGGTAGTAAAATAAGTTGTAAAGAATATATATATATATATATATATATATATATATATATATATTTGGCAGTGATGGAATTTAACCAGTTAGACAAATATGTTGACAATTGTTCCAAGGAAATATATCATTTCCTGTATCAATAAAAAATTTAAACAGAATTTGAAAAGATTAATTATTTGATAGTAATTTAATTATGTTACGTTGACATAGTTTAAGCTCCAGCACATGTTAACATTTTGAAATTAACCTCGTCTGACAAAATGTGTTTTTCTAATTATTACTTGTATTTATTTTATTATTTTTATTTTTTAAAGTTATGTTATGAATCTGTCCTTTTGGATCTTTCTAGCGCCTTTTGGGCCATTTATCAAGTTCATACTATAAACGTTGGATTTCATATTATATCATCGTGGGTTTAGGGCAAAACTTTCAGACGGTTAAAGTATCCCTTTCCCGTCAAGCTATCAAGCTCTAACTTGGCTCATAGACTGGCTGTGTATGATAACAAATTTTTCATGTTCAGCCCTTCCCCTCAACGCAGTCCGCGAAGGGTAAGATAAAGCAAATTTGATGAACCTGAAATCACGAAATAAAATTCACGACAACTTTGCTAAATGTGATTCTATAGAAAAAAAATGTTGTACTTGCGTTTCGATTTAAAAGCGGGTGGGATATCAGAATAGCGATATTAAATAATAAAAAATACTTATAAAAGGATTCATTGGAAACAAAAATCTTTGCTTTTAGGGCTTGATTAATTTCTGTATCTTACTTTTTAATTTTTTTTTTTTTTTGGTTAAATTGTAAATCATTCAGATTTATTTCTATTTCTTTTTCAATATTATAATAATATATTATATATATAGAAATATTTATATATATATATTATGGGCGCCCGCAGGGGGGGGGGGGAAAGGGGGCACGGGGCCCCCCCCCCTGGATTGATTGGATAAAAAAATTTTAGACTAAAATAGACACAAAATTTATTAAAGTAAAGAGAAAATAAAGAAAAAGTAACTAAGCTGATGTCATGTCGGTTCGTTCACCATACAAATACACTACAGTAAATTAAAACTATATTAAAACATTACTAAAGATTTTTTGCCCCCCCCCCTTGAAAGTTAATAGATTTTTTTGCCCCCCCCCACTAGAAAGTTTTCTGCGGGTGCCCATGTATATATATAATCTCTTATATAAAGATATAAACTATGATTTTTTTTTCAGTTGTCAGATTTATATCGATATTTAAAAGGGAAATGTACAATAATTTGAATATATTAACATTAAAATAATTAATGTTAAGTAACAAAACCGAACCATATTTTGTATTTCAAGACAGGTTATATAGGTATTTCCCGATATTATATCATTTCTGAAGGAACCTTCAATTCAAGAGGAACGATTTAATCGGAAATTCTCAAGTTTCAATAAGCCTATTTTTTTAAAGAAAATTAGAAGATACCATTTTTATGTGTATAAATTATTTGTATTAATATCGTATTGCTATGTATGTTATTGCTATATAGGCGAATTTTTAACAAAATTATTTATTGTTCTTTGGTAAATTACACAAACTTTTTTCGATATCCGAATGTTTTAATTTCGATTTTGTTTGGTAAAAAACAGATATACATTTTATAAAAATAAAAAAAATAATAATTGTTATCTTATTGTAAAAGTTTCTGTAAATAATAGTATTAAATTCATTTAAAATATAACAAGTAATTGTAGGACACTATAAATAGGACATTAAAAATATACAGGGCTCTTCCCGGATTTAAAACCTTTTCAGGTTAAAATATTCGTTGTATTATTTCTAAATAAATGCAATCAATGACGTGCCTAATATCTGCATTCATGCCAAAAGGAAACCATAACAAATCAAAAACAAAACAAAATTCTATGAAAAGATACGCTATATCAGCATCAATTCAAGACTCTGTATGGTTAAAGAACTTTAAATCTATAACTGTATTACATAGTGTTTGTAGTGTATTTCTTTCTTTATTATTATTAGTTATTAATATTTTTTTTTTAAATTATTTTTTTTGTGTTTGATGGTGGGAGTTTGGGGCAATGTCTTTTTAACAATATATATATATATATATCTCTCTTTCTATTTTATATATATATATATATATATATATATATATATATGCATTTTTATTGACTACATTATAATGGTTATCTGGTGTTTTTTTTTTCTCAGAGTCTCATTTTTATTTTAATTAACTTCTTAAAAATGACAAAGAGATCTAAAAACATTACTCAGCTCAAAGAAAGTCAGATCAGTGTATGTGCAGCCTGCAACCATCTCCGAGTGATCTGCAGTTGTCGAAGAGGCGCATTCTCAAGTTTAATCAAGCGTACACGGCATCAGTGGGACATATCTAAAGGTGTGTCAAGCTGTGGAGTTTAGTTTATCATTATTATTTATACAAATAAAAATTATTTGCTTTTAATTCAAAAGTCATCGCAATTGTTAGGAATACCGCGAAAATGACATGTGGTATGTTGATGTTCATAATTAATTAGTCAAAAATAATGGGCGCACAAATTTGCATAAATATTGACAGTTTCTATTGCCATAATAAACTAACCCACACTGTCCTATTTTATAGTAAACAAAGTTGTTTAAACATATTATGCTTCTGTTAAAATAACAACTGCATTATAATTAAATGCATTAATTATTACTTTTTTCGGCATATTTAATAAAATTGTATTCTATAATATGTTCCCCAAACCAAACAAAGAAACCGAATATCAACAATCTGTGGATGACTTGGAGTCGGACTTGGAGGACTACCATTTTTGCAAGAAGTACAAACACCACAAAGATTACGTTCCAGTATCTCGATTCAACACATCCCATCTTCCAGAGGATCTCAGACACCCACTGGTCTGTGTATGGCTGAGAGCGTGTGCGCGCCTGGTTGTTAAACTCAAACTTCGTCATAATAAGGTAGCGACGGGTCGAGTCAGTTTCACTCCGTTTGACGAGGGGAAAAGTGAGAAATGTGATGACGTTCATTGCGATTATAAGACGGTGGTCGGCGCCGTCCATAAAGTACACGGAGGCATTACCATTATCACCAATAAGCATGTGGTCAGTTCTGATGACGAGGCAGCTGTTGCACGAGTACACTTCTTCTACGACAGGAAAGAACAAACTGTTCAATTTAAAGAGCTCGGGACCAGCTTAATTTTCGCCTTAAAACCTTTAGATTACAGTGTGTTCAGTTGCTTTGTTCACTCAACAGAATTCATTCAAGTTTTGAAAATGTTGAAAAAAGCGCAAGATTATTCTTGGCAGCAGGTCCCTGAAAAGCTAAGAGACTTGACAAAAGACTACGCAATAACCATATCACATCCCCATGGAGCAGCAAAGCAAGTCAGTATCGGCCGAGTCTTACCACGGGATTTGCATGAAAGCGAATCGGTCAATAAGGATGAGGTAGAAAATGCAAGACTACTCTCTAAATTGTTCACATCATGTAATAAATCACCCGAAGGGTCAAAACGGCTCATAGGGTATTTGAAATTTTTGGATTTAAAGACACCTATTCAGATAACCAAGTATTCTGCGGCCACCTGCGAGGGCAGTTCAGGGGCTCCTGTGTACGTGGGCGATTTCGAGGTCATGAATGGGCAACAGGTTAACATCCCAAGAACTCACAGAGGGACACGAGAAATTGAAAACTGCTTTCATAATTACTCTCATGTGTAAACAGTCAATTGTGCTATTCATTTAACTTACAGATTTTTTTTTAAAAAAAACTTTTGGAACAAATGGTGTGTAATACCAAAAAACAATAAAAATAATAACATGTTTATAGCATGTGGGTATGTTTTTTGCCTGATAGACACATTTATTTAATTAGACATACGTGTTTCAACGAATTCCTTCGATCCGTTGCTAACTAGGAATCATTCAGAGACTGTGTCATTGATGTTTACAGTAAAGTGAAATGACTTTATGTTTGCATGTAGCAAAAAGTGAGGTTTGGGAATAGATTTTTTTTCATAACACTGAAAATTCATATAACGTATAACAAGTCGAATGCATTGTTCTATAGAACCAGTGTAAAGGGGCTTTATTGTTGCTGCTCACAGCACTTCTCCTGCTTCTGGTGAAACGAGAGCATTACGTCTATATTTTAACGACCACATCGGAAGCAAAGCTGTAATTCAGCATAAAAGCGTTCAGCTTTAGTCTGCGAATGGTTAAACGTAGGAGTCTAGAGGGTGGAAGTATTTCAACAAGGCCAAAAAGGTAACTTATTGGGTTGGTATTACTGTTTCCTTTATTTGTGTACAGTTTTTCTCAAATATCATGAGAAATTAGACTTGTTTCCCCAATACAGGCAGGGGGGATCTTGAAAGAATAGAAGTGGTAGTTTTCCATGTTTTAAGAATTCAAGAAGGATTCCTCTCATTGGCATAGCAAGGACTTGTGAAACCCAAAGTTGCGCAATATTTTTGAGACCCTTTGCGTGAAAATGCCACATTTTGCCTAGTTATAAAAATAATCGTCTTCTTATTCTATGTACTAAAGGTCCATGATCAATTTATTGATCATTTAGCTCCTATGAATGTAGAGGGTATTTGCAATGTTTCTGTGCCTGGTGTTGATTAGAATAATTCAGTGGTTGTAATGTAAGGGTTACTTTGTGGGGGTAGCATGCACTGGGGGTATTAAGGCCTGGGGCAATAGACGAAAATGTGTCAAGAATTGTCGCCTAAAATTTTCCTTTTGAAATCTTGTCCCAGTCCTTGATTGTCTTTGACGTGATTAATCTTCTCCTATACTGGCTTTTTGTTGGTATGGACCTGTCATGGCCTCGTCGCAGTCTATAGGGCAGAGGGACAAGATTCAGTTTAATGCTGGAGCAGTGGACCAGTCCAATATTTATTTTGTACATCAGGGAGAGCCTGGATAGTTGTCGTCGTTGCTCCAATAGTGACTATCCCAGAGTTTTTAGCATGCTGCCAACACAAGAAGTATTCTTGTAGCGGTTCAGGACATAGCGTGCTTCCGTCGCTTAACCGGCTCCAACCTGTCAATGATCTTCTGGGTAAATGGGTCCCAGACTGAAGATGCATAATCTAAAAGCGGAAGGACCAAGGCTTTATATGCTCTTTCTTTTACACGGGAGTTGCCGATCTTTAGATTACGCATTAAGAACCCCAGGGTTTTGTTTGCCTGGCTGCACACATTGTTAAAATGTTCGTTCCAGTGGACCTCTCTTTGATTGGTAAAACCCGGGTACTTTACTGAGATACTGGCTCAAGTAGATGGCCATGCAGTTCGTAATCGTAGTGTAGAGGAGTACAACTTCTAGAGACTGACAGTGTTTGGCATTTGGCAGGATGAAATTTCATGTCCCAGCTATCCTCCCACTCAGATAACCGATAGAAATCCGGTTGTAGCTGGTCCTATGTAGATCTGTTGGCGACACCGCTGTGTCATCTGCGAACCGTCTTGCTCGGGATTAAATCGTTCCAGGGCCGCAGACCATTACAACCTACATTAAAATGTTGAACGCTGTGTTGAAATGTGTATAGTTCAAAAAACATGCGTGTAAATTTTGTAAATGTACATAGTGACATGCCAATTGATATACCTTAGTAAAACTAAAATTTGGTGATATCACTGTATATTTTCCCTTACACATCTTTTCTAAGTTAAATCATTTGTCAATAGAATGAAGAATGAGTAAGCTTAATGTGATAAATGAGGTAACCCCATAGTAATATCTCATCATAAAAAACTGCAATATTTTACATGTCGAACCGTTGTGCGGCTTTCGGGACACAAGTTTTGCTTTTCTACGATAATCTAAAAAAACGGGTATCCTCATACATTTACAGAAGTATTATAGTAACCAAACTAGTAATTTAAAAAAAAAAATGAATTTATTTAATGATGCATTTAAAGGACATTTTAAAAATAACGGAGTTAAATTGTTATGAGCGTGTTGCCATTTAATACCGTTAGTGTTCAGCAATAACATTACCATAACATAACTCTCCTGGTTAAGATAGCTTCTAACATGTACGGTACATCGTATTCAACAATTAGCCTGGTCACTTTTTTTTTTCTTCAAATAAATCGATGAAAGATTCGGCTCGATACAGAATATGTATACGAAAGAATATAAATTGTGATCTTTAAGATAAAACATGTTTTACTAACTACCAATATGCATACGAAAGACTATAAATTGTGATCTTTAAGATAAAACATGTTACTTACTACCAACTCAAAAGGCATTTATATCAGCTGGAAATTATAGTTAAAGATATTTTATTTTTTTAAATCTTTATGTTATGTCATTCAGGTCGCATTAAAGTGCATACGTTACATGGGGTTGTGATAAATCATCTACATAAAAAAAATTAATAAAAGTCTACCTTTTTATAATAGTTGTGCATGACGTAAAACACATTTCAAGCTATTTTTTTTAATTAATTGTTTATTTCTTTATTGTTTTTGCTCTGCTGTTATTTATGATACTTTAAAAATTTAATAAACAACTTAAACAACTATTGTGAACGTAATCATTTATTGTTATGCCATGAAGGTATGCATTATCGAATGATTATTAAAGTTTACAATAAATCGTTTAGTATTTAAAAAAAAGGGAATGTTTTGTTTCAATTAGTTTTAATCCTATTTAATATATACTCATATTCTTTTAAATATTGTTTATTTTTTATTTTTCTTGTATTCTTGCTTCAATACTTGGTTTTTTTTTTTTTTTTTTTTTTTTTTTTTTTTTTTTTTTTTTTTTTTTTTTTTTTTTTTTTTTTTTTTTTTTTTCTTTTTTTTTTTTTTTTTTTTTTTTTTTTTTTTTTTTTTTTTTTTTTTTTTTTTTGTTTTTTTTAGCAGTAGATTCAGTCTTTCAAATTTTGATGTTTCAAGAATATCTTTCTCATGGGTAAAATAAAAAACCCTATGGTAAATATTAAATTAACTACAAGTAGTGCAATACAAAACGTATATAAAATGTAAAATAGAACATTCTGTGCAACTACACTCACTAGAATAAGCACTATTAAATCTGTCTGTGTTCTTAAAAGTTTTGCCAGCGGTGTCAATTGTTATGGAGCATTTCCTTACTCCTAAGTCTCACCTCCGTGACACGGACTGTAGCGCTCAGATGAGAAATGGAAATCTGCTGCAATGAGCCGCAGGCCTTACAAAGTAACCCGATTTACAATTCAACTTCTCTTTTACGATACATGAAAATAATGATGAGTCTAATACGGTCGTATTTTTTTTTTTGGCTGTTCAATTTTGATGTAAACAAATATATCTATCGATTCTATTTCTTAGGAATGACACACATTGATAATATCCCCTGTGTCGAACTAGTCGTTTGTCCTAACGTTCCTTAAAATGGACAATGCCATTGTTTAGTGGAACGGGACAGGCCCTTATTACTCAATACGTATTGACTGATAGCTATAATAATCAAATGAAGACAAATACAGTAATGCAGAAAATGACCTTTGTTTTTTTAATTGGTTATGTGTGAAATTTGTTGACGGATGGTGTCCTCCATTTCATAATGAAATTGCTTTTTTTTTTTTTTTTTAATTTCCCCTTCTCCGCTTTCTCTACACTCTTTACAGCGAACACAACTGATTGTTTTTATTTTCTCAAATACAGTAATGCAGAAAATGACCTTTGTTTTTTTAATTGGTTATGTGTGAAATTTGTTGACGGATGGTGTCCTCCATTTCATAATGAAATTGCTTTTTTTTTTTTTTTTTTAATTTCCCCTTCTCCGCTGTCTCTACACTCTTTACAGCGAACACAACTGATTGTTTTCATTTTCATACCGATCACTTCTCCATAAACAGTCGGCATAGCTGACCTGTGCTATAGAGTGTTTGAACATTACCAATCAATTCAAAAACGATAGGCGAGAGGCAATTCGTGATAAATTGCTCAAACAATTTACACGATATAACATCGAGTCTTTCTGGCTTGACAAAGTTATCAACGAGTTACATCCCTTTTATCACCGAGAAACTTGAACTTTCAGTACAGCAAAGCGACATTTTATTGGGCAGTATATTAGTCAATCCTATAAAATTACAGACACCATCTTTACTTTTCTTGCATGAAGCTAATCTCGGTATCATAAATACGAAAATCAATGGAAAGACAGACAACGTGGTAGCCAAACATGGATAAAAAATTGAAACATTGAGATGTGTGTTACGTGTTCAGCACTTTTGTAATGCAGCACTAAAAATCATCCATGGGACTTGCCGGCACGGACCATAAAAAAATAGTGTACCTAGACTATACCAGACCATTTATTAGAAAACATTTCTTAATTTCTATTTAAACACATTGCATTTAGGTAGAAGTTATTGTTACATATTTTAGAACAACTTCAGCAAAGATTAATATTTTAAACCTACTGTTTGCAAGATTTGGAAAACCCACTTGTCCCGACAATAGATGTCTGTTCGTTTCTGATGAAAGCAGAGTGATTTGTTATGAACAATGAAATAATTAACTTGTTTAGTGCAACATAAACATCCTCAAAAAATAGACTAATTGAATGGTTTCTTCATTTTTAAAAAATATTAAATGAAAGAATGAGCCAAAGACTCGGGCAACGTAAACACAAAAGTATATGTTTGCTCGCCTTCGTAGTTCGCAACATAATTAGGTTGCTCTTCAACTACTTTGGCTACGTCAAACCTTGTTCG